AGTTTTAGAGTTTTACAGGGTCACTATCGGTTGGAACTGACTCGATGGCACTTAACAACAACAAAACATTTTTATATAGAATCTAAGACAAGTTTGAGGTGTGGGGTGGCTCTGTAAGACAAACACTGGACAGCAAACCACAGAGTTAGTGGTTCAAGATGAGACTTTCTGCTCCCACAAAGATTTACAGTCTCAGAAACCCTATACAGGGTTGCTATGAGCCCAAATTGACTTGATGGCAATTAAAAGCAACAACAATGTCAGGCTTGCCATAAATTAATTTCACAACTACCTCCTCTAATAGCTCTGTTCATGTTTCATGCCTAGTATTGTTATGTGGCACTGTGGGTTAATGCACCAGACTGCAAAGCCATTTGAACTGGAAGGTCGGCGGTTCAAGCTCACCAGCAGCTCCTCAAAAACCCTACACAGGGTCGCTACGTGTCGGAACCAACTTGATGACACTTAACAACAACAACATTGTTGTTGTAGGAGCTCTGGTAATGTACTGGTCACAAGTTGGGCTACCAGTTTGAAACTTGTTTGAAACTTCCAGCCATTTTTGGGAGAGAAATGAGGCTTTCTGCTCCGGTAAAGATTTACAGCCTCAGAAACCCTATGAAGGGTCGCTATGAGTCAGAACTGACTCCACGGCATACCACCACCACTATTGTTGTTATCAAATGCTGTCGAGTCAGTTCCAACTCACAAGAACTTTGTATAGGGTTTCCAAAGAGCAGTTGGTGGATTTGAACCACTGACTTGCTGATTGGGCATCCAGTGCTTATCCTCCAATGTCACACTAGGACTCCAAAGAATTTTACTGATCGGTACAATGAGCACAAGATGCAGCATTATAATCAGACAGTTGGAATTAGGTAGTAAAGTTAAAGACACAACATGCCTGTTTCATTGCAGATGAAAGGTAAAATAAAATACTGTGAAGTGAAAATAGTAAAAAAAAAAAAAAAAATTGATAATGATCCCCAACCTGTCCATGCATCTCATTAGCAGTTCTCACTCACTATAATTACAGAATATATACCCAGATGCAAATACTATTGCTCATAATGTTTCAAGATGTCCCTGATTCAGCTTTTAGTAGTTATGTTAATTAAAATCATTCATTCATTTTTATTTTTTTGAAATTGATCTTAAATAACTGTCAGATGAATGTAAAATTCTGAGTAATTTACTCAAAGCAAAAGGATACACTACATATCTCCACTGTACACTATAGACCAAGAGGAAGGTGTTCAAACAGAACAACAGGACACCAAATGATTTAAAATTAGGAGAGGTGTGTGCTAGAGTTGTATTCTTTCACCATACTTATTAAATCTGTATGTTGAGCAAATAATTTGAGAAACTAGTTTATATGATGAAAAACTGGGACATGAGGCTTGGAGGAAGACTCATTTACAACCTGCGCTATGCAGATGATACAACCTTGCTTCTTGAAAGCGAAGAGAACTTAAAATACTCACTGATGAAGATCAAAGACCATAGCCTTCGGTATGGGTTGCACCTCAGGGTAAAGAAAACAAAAATCCTTACCACTGGACCAATAAACAACATCCATATA